GTACACTGTAAAACATTTTAAAGGTTTTGCAAGTAAATAAATACTTTATTTACATGATTTTAAAAGTTATTTTCTGTAATCTAACAAAACAGGAAAAATCTGTAAAGTAACAAAAAATGATTTTCCATGTTCTAGTCCCTAATATATATAATAAATAAAATAACTTTTTAAAATGTAAATATTTGCACATAAATTTTTTTAGCTGATTTTAATACTGTAAAGAATTTGTAATTTTATCTTGAAATAAAAAATTGTAAAATAAAAAATAATGTAATTTTATTGTCAAATGTTGCTTAAGAAAAAAAAAGCCATTTGTACAAGTAGCAGTTTTTAATGTGGACATTATTCAAATATTTTAGGGTTTTACAAGTAAATACATACTGTTTTATACAAACAAACAAAGAAAAAACAGAGAAAATGTAAAATAACGGTAAATTGTAAAAAAAAAAAAAAAAACATTTGAAATTGAAATTGTTTAAAATGTCTGGAGTGTAAATACATAATTAAATTAAAAATGCAACACATAGCTGTTGTTGTTAATTTACTTAATTTTCTTGTAAAATATCCTAAAACTGTCACTTACACAAAAGTAAAAAACCTCAAATGACATCACTGAATAGACGCTCACCTGAATAATTTAGAATTTTACTAAAAGTAGAAATAATCACGATAAAATAAACGTAAACCTGAAACCAGACAAGAGTCGTGGGTGTTTTTATGACTAACATGAGCGACTTCATTCAAACCAAACAGGTCAATCTGTGAACTGATGAAGGCAAAGCGCCGTCTGGTTCTGAGCGGTCCAGCTGGACGCCTACCTGCAGGGGGACGTTCCAGGCCATGTAGACGTGGCTCCGGTGCTGGTCCATCCAGACCTCGGCCACCCGCAGAGCGTTCCTCCTCACGTGGGCCGTCAGGTTCTCGGTGTAGGGCTTGTGGGCGCGCTCGATGTGGGCGATCCGGGAGCAGGGCAGAACCTCCACGCTGCCGCCGCACTGCCACACCTGAGGAGACAAAGACCAGCAGGTTGGAGGCTTCATCAGCGACGGCGGGCAGGAACCATTTAGATTGAGACCATCATTTTATAGTGAGTTTGAGTTTCTGTTGGTGGTGATTTAGCC